GGCAGCATTTCTTAATGTATCATCTTGAAACTTTGCACACTTATTCCTTCTACGCTAAGGAACATCCCTATTGTTTGTGGTGAATGCCCAACCCCCAGGGGCAGAGCCACACCCATTTTCTTTTTGTGTGTCACTTACAGGCCACAATTCTTAATCGATCGTCTTGAAAACTTTTCATACTTATTCCTTATACCCTAAGTCTGACCTTGATTATTTTTGGTGCATGTAGCTGACCCCCTGGGAAGAGCCACACTCAATTTTTGTTTATCTTGTGTTTCGCCTACAGGCCGCAATGCTTAACAGATCCTTTTGAAACTTTGCATATCTATTCCTTATATCCACGCCCATCTTTTCTTTGTGTCTCTGTGCGTTGCCTACACGCCACGATTCTTAATGGATCATCTTTGAATTTGGGATATGTATTCCTTATAGCCTAAGGACAACAACTGCATGCCCCAACACCCAGGGGCAGAGTCACCCCCAATTTTTGTGTTTATTGTTTACATGTCGCAATTGTGAATGGATCAGCTTGGTACTTGGCATAAGTATTCCTTATAGGCTAAGGGTGTCAACTATTGATTTTGGTGAATGCCCCAATCGTTAGGGGCAGAGCCATGCCCAATTTTTGCCTTTAGCGCCTGAAGGCCACAATTCTGAATGGATTATCTTGGAACTTGGTATACTTATTCCTTAGGACGTTAACTACAGTATTGATGTTGGTGCACAATCCCCCCCCCCCCCCCCCGGGCTCTTTTGGCGGTGCCACACCCACTTTTTGTTGATATTTTGTCTGTAAATGATATACAGGTTGCAATTATTAACAGATTTGGATCCAATTCGGAATGATCCAGCATAGGGTTGTACCTATATATATATATTGGTCCATGTCTAACCCCCATGGCATATTTATTCCTTATACTGTAAGGATAGCAACTATTTATTTTGGTGCATGTCCTGACCCAATGTTTATGTTCATTTTTATCTTGTTCAAATTCTGCATATCAGTCATTTCATTATTTATATTGTTCCATATCCAACCCCCAGGGGCAGAGCGACGCCTAATTTTGTATTTATCGTCTACGGGCTGCAATTCTGAATGGATCATCTTGGAACTATGCATATTTATTCCTTATATCGTAAAGACAGCAACTATTTATTTTGGTGCATGCCCCAACCCCCTGGGGTGGTGTCACACCCACTTTTTGGTTAATATTTTGTCTGTAAATTTGACAAAAGCGCGTAATGAGTGTATTTTTACTTGGCTTTATATACAATACATGTTTGTATAATACCATGTGGAATGCTATTTGTGACGTATATTTGCTGCGACCTCCAAATTCATGTACGCGGAACTACATTTTGATCACTTCAGAAAACATCAGGGACGGTGCAGTCAGGCAGATAACTGTGTATGTTTATATAAGGACAATTAATTGACCATTGAACCACTCTAATTGAGAATGGGTCTAGCCCATATCAGAGATACAGTTGGACTGGATGATCAAAGCTAAGCAAATGACAGTTAAACAGAGATTAAGCCAAGCTGTTAAAATTATAAGCATGCAACATTGCGAAATTCTTTTGGGACTTCTATTCTTAACTTTGTATATTTTGTCAGAAAACAAAACTCAAAATACAAAAATTCAAACATTTTTAAGAAATATGTGCATGTGTTTGTTTGTTATGGTATATGATATATGAATGTATACGCCCAAATCTTAACATTCCTAACCAATTTCTCAGCGATCAGCCTAATTTGTAATAAATCAGATAGAAATAAGAAATATTATCTCCATTTATCATGATTTAATGTGTGTGTAGGTGTATATCAATCATGCTGTGTATAAATTATTTATTTTTACCCAAATCTATTGCAGATACAGCTATACAGGGTGTATTTGGATGGAGTAGTGGGGTGGGGACAGGCTTGTTCCCCAGCACTGTATCCTTCTCCAACTTCCCCATCCATTATTTCGTTTTCTTCGAAATTAAAAATACAGATTCAATTTGGGTCTGAGGTAGTTTAACAGTTCGGGAACTGAACCCTAGACTAGAAAGTACTAGGTAAGGGATTGGACTCTCAACTGGAAATTCTTGGGTTTAGGACTTGAGGTGTTAGATTCTCGACTATAAGATTTTGGGGAACTGGATTCTTGACTAGAAAGTCTGAAGTTAAGAAACTGTGTTCGTATTCAAATTCAATCTTAAACTAGCTATAAGTCCGTAACTCTATCATCCAAAATCTTCGACATTGAAAACACGAATTATTTTGCAATTTAAATCAGCATTGGTGTTGTGATCTTACCTGGAAAAGATGGGCTTCTGATATCCAAAATTTAAGACAAAATAAACATAATGCGTTTCAGTGCCATTTGTAACATGGTGCTCAAAGAATGAGGCTAGACATATTCCACAAGTCATGTCAAACAGTGATATCATATTCTCATTTGGAGAGCATGCGCAATAAATAATATCGGTGTTGACTAGAATAACAAGACGCTAGAAACTGACTTGCGGTTGAGACTTCTGGCGTATTTCGCTTAACATAACTGATGACAATTCACATTAAAACGGACACGATTGAATGTAAAACAGTTTATATAAATTCATACTACATTATTATATGTCTTGTGACTCATTTGTGCCAATTTCTAGGTCCAAAATATTAGCGATTCAGCTCCTTTAAGTCTAACTAAGTCACTTAACTACTGGATCTCACTTAAATATATGTAACTTCCCGTAAGTTAAGGGTAAATGGTATTCAAAGACAATGTTAAGTATCAAATGTTCCCTTAAAATTAAGTTGCCTTAACTATAAGTGTTTAGTGTTTTAGTGGTGTTCAAAGTTTAAGTGATAAATTTCCACTTAAGGATGCATTATTCAAGAGTTAAATCTGCTTATTGCAGATCTTTCTTTAGGTCTTAAATGTTATTGATTAGACATTTATTAACTTGCCAAGACCATAATCAAAAATGCTCTAGATATTCAACAGATTTAAATATGATTTATTTGGAAAATGGATAATCAAGACCTTGTTTATTATCTATCAATGTGACTACTTTGTTCTGTAATTGACATTAACTCCAATCAGAATGAAGTAATTTGACTGAAATTTTCGACATATTCCCTTTTCATTACCTTGTTTTTGTACCTATTATAGGCACTATTCGATAACTGTGATTGCAATCTATTAAAATTGAAATTAAAAAAAACCTTAAAACTACCAAACTGACAGTTCCTGCAAACTATGCGTACTATTATTTATAGTCATGATATTTTCATGGGTTACAATATAATATTTCGACAAACATTTCCTTGCAGTGACAATTAAGATTTTAATAGTGTTATGGTGGGGGACATAACTTTCCTTCGAAGTTAGAAATCTGTGATTTTTGTCAGTGGAGGATATTCCATAAGTTAGAAATTTGTGCTTTTTTTGCATTTGCCAGCTTTCCATAAGTTAAGTGTGCAGTTAAGTTTTTCACACAGGCAAGGGTATGTACAATATAACCTTTGATTACCGATTTAAGTTAATACACTTGGTTATGTGGAAAATTTAAGTATTTTCACTTAACTTTAAGAAAACCTTTGAAAACAGATCCTTGAGTTGGGAAACTTGACTCACAACTTTGTCAGTGGAGGACAAGGGCTAAGTGAAAGGGACGCACTGACGCCCTTTGCGTCATAGTTTTGAGTTTTTTGCACCCCCTTTCAATGCAGTTTTAAACGCTACAATCATAATCATATTACTGAACCAGTGTCAAACATTTACCATGCTCGGAAATACTAAAACATGACTCTAGCATGTTCCACAGTGCTCACGATTTCTCGGCCCAGGACCTCCCCGCTAGTTAATGGGTCCTCAAGGGATCTTGTTCCTCATGCAAAATCATTCATCACCGTGCCCTTGGTGGAGCATATTCCATAAGTTAGAAATTCATACTTTTTGGTATTTGCCAGCAATCCATAAGTTAAGTGTGTAGTTAAGTTTTTCACACAGCCAAGTGTATGTAAAATACAGTCTTTGAATACCGATTTAAGTTAATGGTTAAGTGGAAAAATTAAGTATAGAAGAGCCTCCTGGTTGGAAGTGTGGGTTGGAGAACCCGTTTATTCGATGTCTTGTACACAGTAACATCACATTCTGATTGTGAATAAATAATAAATTACAACTGGGTTTAAAATTAATTTATACTGGAGGAATTTCTGTGGGAATCTTTCGAATATATTGTTGGAGCATATTTGTTTTCTTCTTTATAAAATTACCAAGGGTTCAAAATTGAAGTCTTTATTTTATAACATATCATATAGCAATGGGCCAAACCATCTTGAAGAAGTATGATGTACATTCCTGGTATCAACACTGGCACCGGTAAATGCATTTCCTTGATATATTTCACAGACGGACATCAAGAACAATTCTCTTCTCTTCTTGATTATAGTTGAACTACCACATGCTGATACAGAATTTAGGAGTTGGACATATTTTAAATCACTGAACATAATTTACACGACGACACAATAGGCTTCACACCAATCTTAAGTTAAAGAAGCATATTTTGATATTTGCAGAGATTGGATTCAATCGGATTTAAAAGATATCCATCAAAATATTTGAACGAAAATTACATGTGCAGCTGGCTTTCGACCATATCCCATTTACATCGTCTACATTTTTCAATTCATCATATCTTTGTACTGTAAATACTTAAATGGAATTGAACCATTTTTGGTCAGATAGAGATTCAACTTTGAGGATTTTGTTGTTTGCAAGGGATTCTTCAATCCCTAAAATGACATTCAGCGACGTTAAATGTTGCACTTTGTGTCCAGTCAGTTATTCCTGACCATTCTGTTAAATGCCTAGTAACCAGTTGAACCTGTTCATGAAATGTTTGTAAAGTTTATAAGTAGACACATGATTCCAATAGAGTTATATAGTAGAATGTTCAATTTAAGTGTACAAAAATCTTACATGTTATATGTTTATATTTTTCAGAAATTGGTCCAGTCATAGTAACAACAGATGCAGAAGAGTTTCAAGATGAACTACGAGATTTATATGTCCAGGGTGGTGGAGATTGTCCAGAAATGTCAGTCGGTGCTATTAAAAAGGCGCTGGAAGTTTCCTTACCTAATTCATTTGTTTATGTTTTTACGGACGCAAGATCTAAAGATTATTACCTGACAGAAGATGTTCTGACATTAGTTCAACAAAAACAAAGTCAGGTAAGAATTTATTTTGGATTTACTCACTTACAAATAGACTTTGTAAAATCTGAAAAGAGCATTAGTGATGAAATGAATTGTCTAGTTTCAAAATGTTAAAGAATTTTGGGAGCAATATTTAAATCTGCCCAGAGATTTTTAGATCACTATACCTTATCAAAAGCGCTTGGGGATGTTCATATGCAATGCTGATAGTGGTGAAGGAAGTAGGAAGTATATTTTGAGTGGGTTGTCAGACTAAATTCTAGTGGGCGCAGGTGTACTCCCTTCTCCTTTTGAAATTGCTGTATCCTTTAGACATTTATGGTGGCCCATAGTTATCATAGAGAATTGTGTAAAAAATCCCCCCACCCTATCCCAACCCAATAATATAAAAAACTGTAAAAAATTAGCCAAAAAATAAATAACTTCATGGACTATGCCCCCTGATTGTACGAAAAATCATGTTTTTAGCTTGTGGACCCTCTAGAGGTCACAATGTTCATCTGATTATGATGAAACTTGAAATACATGTTTATAACCCAAAGATCTTGGTTCCTTTCAATATTTGCGCATATCGGATCGTAACTTCCTGAATTATGGCCCCTGATTGTACGAAAAATCACGTTTTTAGCTTGTGGTTTTTCTAGAGGTCACAACATTGGAATGGGTAATCGCTAGTCAAATTATAAATCATATCTGTGATAATAATCTTATGGAGCAACTACAAAGTGCCTATCGTAGGTTCCACTGTTCTGAAACAGCTCTAGTTTGGACACTCGTGATTGTGTTTTATTAGTACTTCAAAATCTGTCTGCTGCATTTGACACTGTGGATCATGATATACTGCTTCACAGATTGTAATCAGAATTTGGAATTTCAGGAAACGCACTAAAGCTCTTGGAATCATATACCAAAGGAAGGTCACAACGTGTTGTTGTGAATGGTATGTCTTCTGCTCCTCGGACCTTGACATCTGGGGTACCCCAAGGCTCCGTCCTTGGTCCCATTCTTTTCAGCCTATATACTAAACCGCTTGGGAATATTTTTAGAAAACATGGTTTATCTTTTCATTTATATGCTGATGACACCCAACTTTACATATCTTTTAAACCGCCTCAAAGTTATTTTGACTTTTCTAAACTCAATATGCACAATTGTATATCAGATATTAAAATGTGGATGTCCAACAACTTTTTAAAGCTCAGTGATGATAAAACCAAGTATTTAATTATTGGATCTAACACAAATTTAAATAAATTAAGTGATACTCCTGTCAGGGATGTAGCGACGCCAAATGCCGCCGAGCGCTTGCGCCCGGCACTATTTTTTGCCGCCCAGCACAAAGAAAAAATTGAAGAAAGCCGCCCAGTTGTATTTAAACCGCTTCATCCTTCTCTGTACACAAACTCAGAGCTCGAAATTTACCACGGCAAACGGCAAAGCCATGGTAAAAGCCGACGCAAACCATGTCTGCCACAGTGTTTTAATTATCAATATCTACCTGTTGTCATAATTCGTTGTACTCATATAAAACACAAAAACCGTTTTAAGAATTGTTTTAATTTTTAATCTCAAAGTAATAAAGTAATATTTGAAAAAAAACCAAAAAACTGAGAAACAGAGTGGGGTGGGGCAATTTTATGCTCGGTTGGTTGGTGTCAAAAAGTTTTTAGATCCCTGGCAGAGTCTCTGTATCATTGATGAAAATTAAATGAATTTGGTAAAAATTTGAATATATAAATGGAAATTTGATTTGCACTGAAGCAAATACAAAAGGCAGCAGATACTCTGAAAATACACCAAGAAGGGTTGAATTTTCATAAAACACCACGCTCCCCTCCCAAAAATTATTTTTCCTCGATCAGCTCGGAAGCTATTTTTTCCACCACTCAGCAAATCCTGGCTACATCCCTGTCCTGTGCAAGTTGGTCATAATTATATAACTCCTTCTAAATCAACCAGCAATATTGGTGTAATTTTTGATTGTCAGATGTCTATGGAATCGCACATTAACAGTATTTGTAAAACTGGTTATTTTAATCTCCGTAACATCAGCAAAATTAAAAAATATATTTCAATTGATGCAATGAACTTGTTACTTCTCGAATTGATAATTCTAACTCACTTTAAAGCTCTGTTCATACTACATCCGTATCCATAAACGTATCCACATCCGTATCCGCACCCGCATCCGTATCCACGTTTTGCCGTTCAAATAGAAAACGCTGAATATAGAATTGTCTGTCAGAGATAACATATTGTCATTTGCAATCATGGAGTCTGACAGTGACACAGAGGAAGTCTTTCTTTTGTATTTGTGGACCCAAAGACGAAAGAGAAAAAAGAGAGTAGGGTCCATGAACTGTTACAGAGAAGGAAGAAATTGTTTTCTGTTTTGTCATATAGTATGGGATTTCTCTCCACAAGGATGATTATTTCCTCTGTCTTGTCCATGTTGTGTTCTTCACAAGACTACACAAATCCACAGAACACAAGGCCAGGCTTTTCTTGGAATGGATTGAGTTTCTATTTGGGGAGATGATGTAATAAGGAGAAAGTACTCGCTGATTGGCTAAAGCTCGGCTCACTAGCCGAAATGCCTGACGCACTTTACAAAAATACGCTCTGGGAGCAATCAATCCGACTTAACGGACGCAGTTGTTTTTGTGCGCAATACGTGCCGGATTCTATTTGAACCCTTTCTTTAAAAATGGCTAAAGTATACCAGTACGTATTCACGCACGTATTTACAGATACGGATACGGATGTAGTATGAACGGACCTTTATACGGCACTCCAGCTAAACATCTTGATAAGTTACAAACACTACAGAAGTCTGCTGCCCGTCTTATTTCAGGATCATCTTATCGAGATCATATTACACCTGTACTTTATGAGCTGCATTTTGGTTAGAATAGAATATAAGATTTTACTTTTAACCTTTAAGTGTTTAAACAATCTGATCTCTTCCTATTTATCAGAACTTATATACTGATATACACCTAGTCGTCAATTAAGATCTTTTGGTGATAAAGCCTTTTCAGTTGCTTCACCTAAACTGTGGAATAAACTTCCTTATATTATTCTCAGCAGTGTGTCTTTACCCGTTTTTAAGAGTCAACTTAAAACTTTTTTGTTTAAGAAAGCTTTTAACTAGCTCCTGATGATGTCTGTTGTTATATATATTTTAGATCAAATCTATTTTATATTCTATATTTAACAGATTTTAACTTTTGTCATTTTTATTTCTATATTTTAGATCAAATTTATTTTATATTTTATATTTAACAGATCTTAACTTTTATTATTTCTATTTTTTTAATTTTATCACATCTTTGTGTGTATCAATAGTATCATATTGTAAAGTGCTTCTGAACACTATTGTGGAAGTAGCGCTACAGAAATGTATGTATTATAATAATAATAATAGAGGTCATAATTTTGATCCGATTTTGATGAAACTTGAAATACATGTTTATAACCCAAAGATATTGGTTCCTTTTGATATTTGTGCATATCAGATCGTAACTTCCTGAATTATGGCCCTTGAGTGTACGAAAAATCACATTTTTAGCTTGTGGTCGCTCTAGAGGTCACAATTTTTATCCGATTAAAAAAAATATTTCACACACCCTAATGACGGCTGAGTTCGAATTTCATGAAAATCGAACAATAACTGCCGGACAAAATGGCCGCCCCTCGTACGCAAATAGTGTAACTATATGGAATATCAAGGTTGTGGAGTGTGGACCCTCTAGAAATCACAATTTTGATCCGATTTTGATGAAACCTGAAATATATCTTTATAACCCAAAGATCTTGGTTCCTGTCGATATTCGCTTATATGGGATCGTAACGTCCTGAATTATGGCCCTTGATTGTACGAAAAATCGCTTTTTGTTTAGCTTGTTCTCTATCCATCTATTGCAAAATGTGGGCGTATCTTGCCTGGCAGTCACTGGATTGTTAATAAATAATCTACTACAGGTTGCAATAATTAAGGAGCAGAGCCAAACCCAATTTTTGTGTTTAGCGTATACAGGCTACAATTCTGAATGGATCATCTTAGAACTTGGTAATTTAATCTATATAACATAAGGATGGCAACTATCGATTTTGATGCATGTCCCGATGTCCAGGAGCATATTATGGATGTTATAAAGATATAAAAACATAGTTAACATAAAAAGTGTTCCAGAGTTAATGTTTTAGCGGCTGTGATAAAGATATATACACAATGTTAGTGGAGTCCCAGAGTAAAAAATAACAAAAATAACCAGAGACAATACTAGATGACCATAAGGCAGTGAAGAGAGAATGTGTCGCCTGTTGGATGTGGGGAGTGCCTTTCCACATTTAACCAACGATGCATAGCATAGCAGTAGGCATAGTGTTACATGTCTACCCACATCACATATCAACCTGTCATATCTCTACTGACAACACATATCAATCTGACATATGTCTAGCCACAACACATATCAATCTGACATATGTCTAGCCACAACACATATCAATCTGACATATGTCTAGCCACAACACATATCAATCTGACATATGTCTAGCCACAACACATATCAATCTGTCATATGTCTACTCGCAACCCATATCAATCCATCTTATGTCTAATTACATCCCATATCAATCTGTCTCATGTCTGCTCACATCCCATATCAATCTGTCTCATGTCTGCTCACATCCCATATCAATCTGTCTCATGTCTGGGGGGATCACGTGGCTAAGTGGGTAAGACGCTAGCTCGCTAGCCTGGAGGTCGGGTGTTTGATCCCTGCATTGGCCGAGAAAGTTCATCCAGATTTTCCGGCGTGGTTCTCCCTTGTCAGTGATGCAGGACGGAGGGGCTGACAAGGAAAGCTGTCTAGTCGTTCGGATGGGACGAAAAACAGAGGTCCTGTGTACACATTGGCGTGCACGTAAAAGATCCCTTGACAGTTGGAATTCGATATAAGAGTAGGCCATAGTGCCGCTGTCCGGGCAAAAATTCCCTCATAGCACAC